AAAACTTTTAAAGCAACCTACGTAATTGACGCGTAGTTTGTAGAATTGGATACGTATATATTATAAATTCACTCTGAAATATTAAACACGAAGCTAGAAGCTCTAGTTCGTATCGAAAAGGCATTTCTCTTCTCATTAATTTAATTTTTCATATCGGTCTACATTCATTGTTATATTGCTTTTATTAATAATATATATAAAAAAATTGTAAAGATAAATTATTTAGATTGATCTTGTTTTAGCATTAAAAAAGTAATGGAAAATTATCGAATCGTTACTTTTTAAATAACGATAACAGTAACGAGTAATGAGTAATGACTAATGAGTAACAGTAACTAGTTACTTTTAAAAAGTAACTTTCTATTCCCTGCTAGAAGATTAACAATGCTAATTTAATACAACACAAAAACTATCCAAGACAAAGTTATTACTTTTGTTAGATGTAACATTCCTGCATGTCGATTAATTTTCGATGAGCGTGCTCTCGTGTTTTCCTCTCTGCGCTCGCAAATAATCGACGACCTCGCACATTAATCTTTCAATCTCAGCAGCGACCGGTCCCTCAAACGCTGTGCGGCGCGCTGCAAAAGGAACCGAACTGCAAATGCCTGGTATTGACGGTACTTATATACGGTTGTCTCGCGGCAGTAACATGGTGCAGATGCGCCAACGTTACCAAGGTATGTAAAAGAAAGTTCACACCTGATTGTGTGTCATGAAACTATAATGTTATGCTCCTACTAACAGATTGATACATCAAATTATTTCAAAATATAACTATTTTGAATAGTTTCAATAATTATAAAAAATTTTTTTATCTTGAAAATTTTGAAATATTTCTAGCTAAAAAGGTATTATATTTAAAGTTTTTTAAGTATATTAAATATATATCTTCTTTTTATAATACTTTATATTATTCTCTTCTGAACATTATGCACAGTTAGTTCAATTTGTTTTATTTTACGACTGTGTTTTTCGACTTTTTATTTTATTTACTTACATTGATTATTATTATAATTTAAAGGTACAATGTTATCTTTTTTCCAATGTATTAACATTTTTACGTTCTTGAATCTATGGCCAACTTCTATAAGATGGCACTTTGGAATTAAATAGAAGAAAGCTCATTCTAGCCATGAGAACATAAGATAATCATCTTTCAATTATAATTTGCGCTGAAGTTCAAAATGAAGCAGAAACGTTTATTGTGTATGGATTATTTTATATTTGAAATTGCGCACTACTAACTGCGTTAGATTCATATAGCCCTTAATTTATAATATCTAAATTATTAATCAATACATTAATAATTTGAATCTTTATATTAATTTAAATTTGTTTTTTGTTTCGTGTGTTACACATGAATCATTTTATTTGTATGAGTTTTAAGTATTTCAGGTATTTAAACGTTTTTAAAAAAATTTTCATAAACGTGGAAGACTTTTAAAAATTTAAAACTTTTAAAATCAGTTTTGAATAACATTCAAAGCAATTTAAGTATTGATGCGTATGCGTGCGTGCGTGCGTGCATGCGATTCAACTGTTTAAATTGCCAATTGTTATGCCGTAATAAATAATGATAAAATAAATAATCTTAATACATTTTGAATATAATATGCAAAAATACCATGCGATTATCTTGTCATTTCGTAGTATTATTTGGAATTAAACAATTTTTTAAAATATTAAAAGAATCTTTAATTGTATATAATATTAGAAATTTTAACATTTTGTTAACACTTTAAAAACATATTGTAATATTTTACGTTATTATTTTAATCCATCTTTTTTATATATAGATACAAATTATATCAATTTAGTTTTAATTTTAAGATTATTAAATTAGTATATCAAATATTTAAATAGCTTATAAAGATTTTTTAAACACAAGAATTTTTAAGCATTATATAATATATAAAACTTTTAAAACTTGAAGATTATAAAAGTTTTTCGACTTTAAGACTAAAGATTTTGGATTCCGATTAATATTTATAAACAATTCAAATTTGTATACTATTAAATTCTTAGGAAACTTTTAAAAGAAGAATTTAATACCTATAATTGCATCCATTTTGTGTGCCGCACGTATGAAATTCTCTTTTGTAATCTTGTAGCAAAAATATTCTTGTTTTTTAGATTATGGTCAACTTCACCAAGACCCCCATCAGAAGTACGAGGCACGTATCATCGCCCTGTGACGATGGCTATATATATATTCCGGTATGTATGAGCGGAAGACTGATATATGGAAAAAGAGAGAGGAGGGGAGAGAGGAGAGAGAGAGAGAGAGAGAGAGAGAGAGAGAGAAAGGAACTCTCCTTCTTCTTTTTGTTACAAGTTAACCCTGTATTGTTCTTCTTTAAAAAAAAATTACTCGACGAGGAGTAATATCGATTCCCCTCGCTCGGATCTTTCCACCGCTCTGCACGCTTGGATGCACGTCGCACCGCCCCCTCGGCTTTTCCATCACCAACTCGGCCTTTTTCCCTTTCTTTGTCATATAGGTGGCATTTATGGGAATGCTGTATCTGGTTTATCTGGTGGAGTGCTACCACTCACCAATCAGGATCGATCTACTACACGCGGAGAGCCAGGACAGCGTGCTGTCCAAATTGGCACAACTAAAGATGGCACAGCCGCGGATATGGTGGAAAGCCGTTTCCTATCACTATGTGCGCAGGAAACGGCAGATCACACGTTATAGGAACGGAGATAATTATACCACCACGCAGGTGACGCGCTGCATCGCCTTTTATCACATATATGCTTTCCTCTTTAACCCTTTCAGGCGCAAATTCTTGGATTTATTTGACACAAGTCGCTTAAAATATTAAAAAGAATTATTTAAAAGATCAGAATTTAAAATATATATGACTCTTTATATACATATTTTCACGTTGATGAAACTACAGCCTGTCAATCCGAATATTAGATCCTCTGTTTTAAGATAGTAATTTGAAATACTGAAGTCTTGAAAAGCTTCAAATAAAATAACCAGTCTGACACAAATCGTGTAGATGCAAATATTTCATTGCCGTACATCGCGAACACAGTGACAATTGATTATAGCGATAACGAAAGGTTTAGGACGCGCCTTGACGAACCTCCTCTTACCCTCTCGCTCCACAGGTCTATTACGAGAGAGTGAACACACACTCGGCCACCACCCATTACTATTACGACTATTGCGGAGTGAAGGACATCAGTAAGGAATTGATACTCGAGGCCAAGATACCGATCACAAAGATTACGCTTACCAAGGGCTTCGCATTTTCAAACATAAGGTCTGCTACGGAATTCGAGGAAGCACGATCACGATTTTTTGCCGAACAAGTACGAAAATATATATGTATATATATGTGCGTGTATTTGTATGATAATTGTTGTACTATTATTTTGTATTAAAACAAATTCAAATTTGGATCTGTTACGAACGAAGAAAACTTAAATAATAGAAAAGGAAGAGGGACTGTATTAATCACTTCATGCAGAAATATTGTTATAGGTATAGCACAAAAACTTATACATTTGTTTTTTCAGGAACTAAGTGACGACTATATGGAAATGAGAGAAGGTCTTGATCTCGGATATAATGTCAATACGATGCTGGTTGCCGTTCTAGGTAACCCGTGGTTCACGAACCGCTATGTTTACTGGTGCCTGAGCGCCCTCCTGCTTAGCTGGCCGTTACGAGTAATCATCGAGTACAAAACACAATATGCCGATTATCAGGTAAAATTAATGGAAATAATATTTTATCCGGAAAACATTTTCAATTCAGTCGTTTCATTTGAGATTTTATTATTATTATTATTATTGAATTAATTGTTACACACACACAATTTCTTTTATTCATTATCTCATATACCTATATAATTATCTTAACTTTTATTCGTTATCGTATTCATTCTTTATTTGTTATAAAATTATTATTTAATTAATAATGTTTTAATTATCTTGTAATGTCACACTATAGATTGTACACGTGATTATATTATTAAAGTAAAAATCAGGGTTGGGTAGTACCTAGTTAAAAAGTTAAAAAGTTAAATAATTTTAACTTAACTTAGTTACATTTTAGACTCTTAACTTTTAACTTAACTAAGTTAAATTTTATCTGTAACTATTGACTTATAACATTTTTGAAGTTTATAACTATAAATAAAGGCGTCATAAGACGCCGCACACCTGCCTACAAGTAATGACTTTTGGGCTGCGTCTAGGTGCATTTGGATATTATTTTATTCTTGTTTAACATTCAGTGAACAACAAGGATAAAATAATGTACCGTGAATTTTTGAACTCAACCGTCGCAGCCCTGTGTGTTCATTGGGTATCGCGTGTCACGTGCGACAAACAAACATCGCTGGTGTGTAAATTGTGCAGAAGACATTTGGTGTGTCAAAGTGATTAATCTCAAGTCTGTGATTACAAGGATTGTAGAATCGCGGAGAAACGTAAAAAACTATTAATGTTATTTGTAAAATTGAAACCCTGACATCAAGAAATAAAAAATTTAGCTTTTAACATTTCAATTACTTTTTTATTAACTTAACTTTTAATTCAATTAATTTCATTATGGATTAACTTGTAACTTAAACTAAGTTAAATTTTTAGGCTGTTAACTTTAACTTAACTTAGTTAAAAAAAATTTTATTTACCCAACCCTGATAAAAATATTGTTGATATTTCTACTTTAACGCTTACTTTATATGCAAACCAACTAGAAAAATCATATAATGTAAAAAAATTATGTAATTTTATTTAAAAAATGGCGATAATATAGAGACCTTGATAAATCGGTTTTTTTTTAATTGATTATTTGCCTTCTTTCAGATAACTTTTGTTCAAAATATTTTTTACTATGACGCATTTTTTTAAGGATAATAACTTGTAACATTTTAAATGTCTTTTCTTGTATATAGGTGATAATATCTTCTTGTATATAATTATATAATTTTTTTATAAATTTAGAAAACTTCAAAATCTTAAGAAAAATTGTTATCTATTTGAAGAATTCAAGGAATTTGCAAAAAAATTTCGGATTTTATCAGATTTCAGGATTAATTTGCAGTTAAATTATTTCTTCAAAAATCTTGTTTTTATTTTATATACACTGAATTGCGATATTTTATGTTTTGCAAATATCAAAGTGTTGATATAAAACTTAAGTGTTACTTTTAAATCTTTAGATAAGTTTTTTTTACTTTGTAAATTTTTTCTTCAATATTTTAATGTACATAATGAGATAATAATAAAATTTATCTCAGTTTGAAGTAATAGTCAAATGTGAGCCGACACGGATATTGGTGTGTAATAATTTTTATTGTTACATTATTCAGCCACACGCAAAATACACACTGCATTTTTGTTGATCTTGAAGAACAGTTCTTTACATGAGTCTAGAATTCGATTGTAACGAATTAAATTAACTACTAATTTAATCTTTTTGATGCTAACGTGCATGTATAAGAATCCCCTTCCCCCAAATTTGTAAAGAAATTATTTATTGCGAAAAATATCACCTCAGCTGAGAATCGAATCCGGATTTCCCTATTTGCCAGGCAAGCGTCCTACCATTCGACTACCGAGGTATATATAAGATGATATTCTTTGCTCTAACTAATATATAAACAATAAAGACGCCTTTTTAAGGCAACGTAATTCAAATAAATCAAAGAGAATATCATCATGTTTCGGTAGTCGGTAGTCGTATGGTACAACGCCCGCCCGAAAAGTAGGGAGATCCGGGTTCGATTCCCGGCTGAGGTGATATTTTTTGCAATAATTTCTTTACAGATTTGAGGGGGAGGAAGGAATTCTTATAGATGCACATTAGCATCATAAAGAGATTAAATTAGGTATTAATCAATTTAATTCGTTACAAGCAAATTCCGGCCTCATGTAAAAAACTGTGTTTCAAGACCGACAAAAATGCGGCGCGCAGTTTGCGTATGTGGCTGAATATTGTAACAATAAAAATTATTACACACCAACGTTCAGGTTGACTCATATTTGGCTATTATTTTGATATTTTAGATTATTCTTGGGAGCCAGATTTCTTTCTAATTTAATAAAATTTATTTTTAATTCTTTTTAAGTCTATTAAAATTAAAATTATATTAATAATTTTGTCTAGAAATGAAATTAAAATATGTAGTTGGAACACATCAGAGAATATCTAGAAAATTTTTATTCAAAATTTAATTAAACACATTATGTAATTTAAAAATCGAACATTTTATTGTTTCTAAATGTGCGATAAAATCTACAAAAATAAATTTAGAAATCCTCTGTTAGGTTACCAAGCTATTTGGTGTAAATTATGATACACCAACTTCTGGTGAACCCATCCATGCATCCATGAGCCAGCTGAGTCAGCCAGGCTCCTATATGCTAGCGCCCAGTTATAGCGAGGCATTATTGATGGAACCAGCAACGCCTCGCAATGACGAGCTGCAACAAAGACAAGAAAATTGGCAAGGTCGAGGAGAGACGAACGTTGCAACCGACATGGTGCCCAGCTATTCTGAGGCACTTCTCTACGAACGTGCCGAACAATACGATCAGCGGAATACGATTGTGAATACTGCCGCTGCTGAATGCGTAAATAACGTGGACGATCCGAGGCGAATGCTACCATTGATGCCATGCGAATGCCACTGCCCTTGTCCATGTCATGGGAATACGAATGAATACGAGATGAAGATGGACGAGCGCAGTTATGCCGAGATTGCGACCAGTAGAGAACAATTACCAATGAGCACCGAGATTGGTGATACCTTCGAGAGTGAACTAGCGACGCTACGGACGACGGCCGACGGTCGATTACATCCCCCCGTAAACGTGGCTCCCCATTCTATGGACGATCTTCAAGCCGAAGCTTCTCCAAGCAGATGCAGCAGTTGTGGCAGAATTTCTGCCAGCACGCAAACAATCAACACTGACATCCTTCCTCGTGTTGTTGCTAGGAACAAGTCTAACGAAAGTTCACAGACTACGTCGGCGGATTTCATTTCCGGTAGGAAATCCGAAAGAGAGCATCGAGCTATACCCCGCGACATTTCCGAACCTAATTTGAGATCACGATCGGAACTCACGGGTACGTTCTCAAAAGGGAACGTCAGGAGCTTGGAGAATATATTGGAGAACGAAGAAGATCTACAAAAAACTGGCAAAACTGGCTTTACCAACTTAGAGTTGAATCTTTCATATGAAAGACCACATCCTTCTGAATGTCAAAGGAGATTCCCGGCCTCCCTTCCGCCTTCTTTGACTCATCACCGTTCCCTTTCTCTTGACGAGACGACTGTTTCTCCGAGGAATATGGGTGCCATTCCAAAAACCGAGCCGCGTAGCAGAATTATGGTGAATCCTATGTCAAATGAGGCCTGCTGGAAGTTACCCAACTCGAAGACATACTTCTGCTTAAAGTCGATCCTGAAACAAAACAGGCGCAGCTATACGCTGGTGACCGCGGACGAATTCCAAAATCTCGAACAGGATGCTAATCGTAGTTCTGGGTACCTCGACATTCCCGCCAGAGGCGAAAAGAGTAATCATAATATTCAGGTCGATAAATTGGTCGATCGTTCACGTTCGAGGGAAAGATTAAATCCCAGGAGAAGGATGCCGTCTTTCGAGGAATTTACATCGGGAAGAGACAAAATGTATATCAATGATCAAAAACAGGAAAACACTAGGTAAGTCTCATCGTCATCTTGTTAATTTTGTTTCATTTTAAGTGATCGGCAATTTTTCTACGTGCATACGCATTCTTTGAGCATATCTATAAGCAAGCTTTATCAATTATTATTGACATTATTTACTGCTTATTAATATTGCGCTGTGTTTTGTTACTGCTTACTCACCATATAATGGTGTATTATGGCTGCATTCTGGTATATTAATGGCTGTATTGTTATTAATTGGTAATCATCTCATAATCATTGTTAACTTTCAACTTGGCGATGTCTTTATAAGTACATTGCTCTCCTGTATTTCATTCTCACGATTAAAATATGTTTCAAAATTTTAAAAAATTTAATAATAAATCTAATTTAAATTAAATATATATATGTATATATTTATTTGTTTAAATTTTTTCTAATTTATTATTTTAATTAGTTTTATTTTATAAATCGAAATATTATTTAAAATATGAAAAATAAAAGTTTTAAATTTTACCTCATATCTTTTTTCTTAAGATAATTTTTAATTTTTCTCCGCCAAATTGAAAGTTCTTTTATAATGTATGACTAGGAGTTAAAGCAATTACCGCTTACAAACAAATAAGACAAAGAATATTGTGTAATTTTGAATAAACACGATATTCACAGTCTAATTTCTAAGAATACGAAATAACTATCAATTGCTATAACTTCATAATACAGTATATTCGTGCGAGTGGAATAAATTGATACTGTCTTTGTAGAACGCTCATTTTCGCCAGTCCAATACAAGAAATTTTTCCTGGCGATCCTTTCGGCGGCAAGGATATTGTGCCAGTGAGAAATCTGAGGGAACGTAACACCAGAGAAGGTGATCTCGCTAACGATTCAGCAATGCTCGATCGGCCAAACCGATCTTTAGCTGTTCGAGATGCAAGATGCCTTCCGACTGATTATCCGACCAGGAATTCATTCCGGCCCGACAGCAACACGTATCCGTTACCACACATTATGCATCTTCCGTGGCATAACTGGCATGAAAGAGAACTCCAGCATTTTTTACGCAGTAGACATCCACTCGAGGCAATGGGTACTCCCGCTAGAGCGGAAGAAATGCCGCGAAGGTATCGAACCGACGTCTCATTTCCTTCCTCCGATGGGTTATTCTCCGAACGCGCGAATAGATGGTCGACGAGCTCGAATGAGTACGATGATAGATCTTGCGAGGGTCATCCAAATAATTCGAAGTACTTATCAAATAGAAGACATCATCAGGCAGCCGGTTTGACCAGATCGCTCACCGAGAGAAGACGTCCGAAGGTCGCTCGTCTCGATAGGAACTTCCGGAGAAGCTTCACAGGCAGGGTGGAAGATTATAGAATGGAAAACGCTAGACGGACAAATTTCAGTATCGAGACGTCATTGTAACGAGCACATTAAATCTTGGGATGCCAGTTTCATTGGTCTCGGTTATACGTGACCACGATTAATTCTTCTGCTGTGTAGAATTTCCCTAAATTACCGCAAAAAAATTACAATATCAGTTAAATTGTTTGATTGCGATAATTAAATGTCGAGTGAAAAATATCTTCATTTTATTATAACTCTAAAGTTTGTAGAAGTAACTTTATCAGAAACTATTAATAATTAATAATTTTATGAAACAAAAAAACGATTTCGATTTTGCATAAACAATGTCATTGTATAGAGTTTAATAGTTTTAAGAACGTCTTGATAAACAGATATTTTTATGATTTTAAAGAAAACAGCAGATTATTAACTCGGAGGTCAGTTAATCCAGATCGTTGGCGCAACTCACTTCTAAATAAGATTGCTAGTTTTTCTTCGTTGTATACAATATATAAATGGAACTATAATCTAATTGCGACAAGGAGTAACTGGGGATTTAGCTGATCCGAACTATCAGCATGACTCAGCCGTAAATTGTTACTCCTTTGTTTTACGTACGCTACTTGTATCGTAAGTATCCGTCCTACTACTTTACGAATTAATTAGATACGCAAACGGGTTATGCAATTTTTCAAAGAATCAACATTCCAATGCGGGCTATTGCCCTTAACGCCCTCGCTTAAAGGCACTCTCGAAAGAGGACCACAATGTTACGCGTATTTTACGGAAATTTGACAATCGGCTATCAAAGAAGCTCAAAAAAACCGCGTGCATTCAACGTTAAATATAAACTATAAGTTACATACAGTTTAAGGCGATTTTAAAATCGTCTATTTTCTCCAAAATATTGCTGTTTTACCGACGATTTGTGCGCATGTATGTGTGCAATATTGATGTAGTAGCATTTACTATCACATCGATATCGCATGCACACATCATAACAAATTGTCAAGCCCTTAATCTTTTATATTAGAGATCTAAGCTTAATTCTAAGAACTCAACATTTAGATGTTTTCCATTTAGTGACACAAGCCGACACAAGTATCGTTTTGTCTCTGTTACTAAATGTTAAGAAGGATAGAATGACGTTTGTATCGACTTATTGTGTCCCTAAATGGAAAGCACTAATTGTTTTAGTCATGTATAATTATATTCGCAGCTCAGGCTGCTCCCATTTTGTATAATATCAATAAACTGCCAAATTTTTATATGAAGCAAATATTGGCACGCGATGACAGCTCTGAACGCCGTATTGGACTAACAATAATAGCGTTTTCGGACGGAGCGGATTTGATCACTCCGAGAGCGATTAATAATGTCACATGCTCTCCTCGTTCAGTTAGAAATCTAAAATAGAGCATGTGACGTCATTATTCGTTCTCGGAGCGATTAAACCCGCTCCGTCCGAAAACGCTATTATTGTTATTATGGATGTGGTCTGACGTAATTAGGTAACAAATCTAAATTAATTTTTTTTCTCAGCCAACCTTTATCAGTTTGAATTGCACTAATGCCTAATATTTTAATTATGGAAAAGAAATATTAAATTTGTAAATTACAACTATGTTATTGGTGTACTGGAAAATAATCACGTCGATCGATAAAACAGACAATTTTAAGATTGTTTAAGGTGTCTGTTTTACCTATAAAAACGCAATAATTGTTGTGCAAAAGTTTTCGTATTACTTTTACAGATTTGAAAATTCTTTTCCAGAATTAAAGTATAGACAATAACGGAATGCGGATGAAAGTATTATGAAAACGAAAAAATTTTCGAAAATTACAGTTTTGTTCTCGACTTCTAGTTTATATTGCATTGACTCGTAACAATATTTATTTGGTATAAAAGTTTTATACTTTGTATAAAATAAGCGTCATCCATAGTAGGGCTTACATGAACCCAGCAAACACCAAGTTACATGTAACGTACTTGTTAGTTGTAATTTCTCACTCAACAATATAACTATAATATAACATGTGTTACATCATCAGTTATATTGTTGAGTGGGAAATTATAATTAACAAGTACATATAGATGTAACTTGGTGTTTGCTGGGAAAGAAAGGTAATGCTTTTACTAATGAGCCTAGGTGCTTTAATATATGAGAAAAGATTGTATGAAAATTTGTGTGTATGTATGGGTGCGACAATAATGTAGTAGTAGTAGTAATAACATCAATACATCACTACTCACTACTTCATTAATATCGCACGCATATACATGGTGTTCATTAAGTCTCGGACCGGTCTAATATCTTTTGAAAAACTAAAAATTTCGAAAATCGCCGAAACACGTGAAACGATTTGTCAAAAAATCTATCTTTTGAGGGGGGTTGCAACCTCCCAACCCCAAGGGGGTGCGTGGAGCGCGAGGGGGGAATAAAATCTTAAATGGGAACAGGGGTCGAGTGGGGGCTCATTTGAAAGGTCTTTTCGAGACGAATTTAAAACACTATGCATAGAGGGCGCTGTAATCACTTTTCGCGGAAATATTTGACTTTTAGTAATTTTCGTGCATTTTTTAAGAGTTTAAAAGTTTTTTCAAGACAAATCCAACGTAGGATCACAGAGGTCGATGCGATCATTTTCCGCTGTTTCCAGTTATTATTTCATGTCTATTCCATAATACCGCCTGCATTAGCATTACCCGAGATATACCACGTGGAGGTTGCACGGTCGGATTTACATCTCTTCGGGATGCTTGATTATGTAGTGAATCCCCTTGCCTCTCACTTGTATGCCGTCTTCTGCTTGA